GAGTTTGTAACCAGCACTGGCATTTCCACCCGAACCACAGCCCTCTCCACCCCATCCCCAGGACTCTGCTGCCCAAACTCACATCCTCTGGTGACTGACAGTCATTGGCGGTGATTTTCTCAGGGCTACTGCCATTTTTAATCTTTTTCTTCTTCTTTGCTCCTGCAGGGACACCAGCGCTGTTCTTCTGCTGATACTCTCTCAACTGTGGAAAGAACAGGGACACTCATGAAAGCCATTTGTCCCGTACTCACAGCCTCCACTCCAGCATTCCATTTTATCGAGGGGTTTTTGCTTGGTGGTTCTGTATGCATTACTTGTTTGAGACAGGGTCTTACATATCCCAGGCTATGTAGATTTAGATGACTATGAACTTCTGATCTTCCTGCCTGAACCTCTAAAAGCTCTAAGATTACAAGTATGTGCCACCATACCTCATTTATACAAACTGGAGATCAAACCGAGGGCTTTGTGCAAGCAAGGCAAGTATTCTACCAGCTGAGCTTCATGCCCAGGTCCCTGCCATGCAAATTTTATAAAAATACCCTTATGGACATAAGTCTCACGGAATGGTACCACAATTCAACAAGATATCGTAATGACCTTTGAATGGCCGAAGAAACAGCATGGCTAAAAAGACAGTAACTGGGCTGGGAATGTAGCTCAGTGGAAAATACTTGCCTAGCATTCAAGAGGCCCTGAGTTCCATCCCAGCAACACATACACATGTGCATACACACAGAGGCAAACATCAAGTTTAAACTCAATCTTCTGATTCCCAGCTCTGGGGTTTGCAGTTCCCAAGGGGAAAATCTAGAGGCAGAGATCTGAGAGTAAACATTTGGTAGCAGGAACTAGCTGGGTGCGGTGTCACCTACCTGTAATCCCAACTCTTGGGAGAGGCAAGAAAAATGAGTTTGAAGCCAACCTCGGCTACACAGCAATACCGTCTCAGAGTAAGAAAACAAGCAAACAAATGAACCAGTAGACAATTATATACTGGACCTTAAAACTCCTCTTTAAAAAAAAATTATCTTGCTGGGCATGGTGGTACACACCCTTAATCCTAGCACTCAAAACAGAAGCAGATGGATCTCTGTAATGAGCTGAGCTAGCCTAGTCTACATAGCATGTTCCCGGCCAGCTAGGGATACAAAGCAAGCCTCTGTCTTTATTCTTATTTATTTTTTAAATTTATTTTATGTGCATGAATGTTTTGCCCATATATATATATATACATATATATATATATACATGCGCACTGCATGTGTACCTGGTGCACACAGAGGTCAGAAGAGGGTGTCAGAACCCTTGGAACTGGAGTCACAGATGACATTAGTCATCATGGGTGCTGGGAATAAAACCCAAAAATTCTGTCTTTAAAATACTTATGTGCGCAAAGCTACACAGAGAAACCCTGTCTCGAAAAACAAAAACAAAGAAACAAAAAAAATATTTATGCGTGCGTGCATCTTGCACGTGTATGTCTGTATACTGTAAGAGGGTGCACTGGTGTGTCACGGTACATACAAGAATGTCAGAGGAAGTCTCTTCCACTTGAGACAGGTCCCTTGTCACCACACACAGCAGACTAGATGGCCCTTCAGTTTCTAGGAATTCTGTCTCTACCTTCCACCCAGCCAGAGAGCACCTGGGCTTAGAGATTCATGCTGCCATGTCTGGTTTGACACGGGTTCTAGGGAATTCAACCCAGGCTCTTCTGTCTGTGTGGCAAGCACTTTACCCAATGAACCGTCTCAAAGTACTGTCAATACAACCTCAAGTCAATGGTTGTTTTTTTTTTGGGGGGGGGGTGGGGGGGCTGGGGGGGCAGTGCTGGGGATTGAACCTGAAGCAATAAGCACATGAGGCCAGTGTTCTACTACTGAGCCATATACAGCTTCCATTAAAAAAAAAAAAAAGACTGTTGGGCATGGTAGCCCACACCTTTCATCCCAGCACTAGGGAGACAAGAGGCAGGCGGATCTCTGTGAATTTGAGGTCAGCCTGGTCTACAGAGTGAGTTCTAGTACAGCCAGGACTACATAAACCCTTTTCAAAACAAAAAAAATTAATTTAGTTTAAAAATATTATTTTTATTTTGAGTTTTTTCCCTACATGTATGTCTGTATATCATATACATGCAGTAACCTAGATGGCCAGAAGAGGGCGTCATACAGAACCTCTGGAACTGGAGTTACAGATGGTTGTTAGCTGCCATGTGGATGGTAGGAGCTAAACCCAGGTCCTCTGCAAGAGCAACAAGTGCTTTAGCTGCTGGGTCACCCTGCCAGCCCCAATCCCCCCAACCTTTTTTTTTTTTTTGGTAAAGATGGAGTATTACATACACCGTGCTGGCCTCAAAACTACATATAAAGGCAAAAATAACCTTGAAGTCCTGTTCCTTCTGCCTCTACCCCCAGAGTCTTGGGATCCAGCATGCATTGTTCTGCCCGGTTAATGCCATGTTGGGATCCAACCCAAAGCCTCATACATGTTAGGCAAGCACTCTTGCCAATTAAGCTGAGTATTGAACGGGCCCTTGTATACACTAGACAAGGATCCTAACAACTTAGCTACATGCCTAACCCCACTGGGGTCCTTTACCAACACGTATTAAAGGTACACAGCAGTATTTCCTAAACTTTCACAACATAACACAAGGGAAGAAGTCATGAAGGCAACTCTGGTGAACTTGAGAACAGGAGTAAGTAAGCATCATTTCAAAGAGAAGAGTGGTGATATTGTGTTCCCCAAAATATTGTGCACCCTAATAAACTTATCTGGAGTCAGAGAACAGAACAGCCATAATATTAAACATAGAGGTTAGGCAGTGGTAGCACACACCTTTAATCCTAGCATTCCAGAGGCAGAGATCCATCCGGATCTCTGTGAGTTCAAAGCCACAACTGGAAACAGCCAGGCATGGTGACTCACGCCTTTAATCCCAGGAAGTGATGGAGGAAATCGGAAAGGTATATAAGGTGTGAAAACCAGGAATTAGGGCTGGTTAAGCTTTTAGGCTTTTGAGCAGCAGTTCAGCTGAGATTCATTCTGGATGAGGACATGGAGGCTTCCAGTCTGAGGAAACAGGATCAGCTGAGGAGTTGGCAAGGTGAGGTGGCTGTGGCTTGTTCTGTCTTCTCTGATCTTCCAGTGTTCACCCCAATACCTGGCCCTGGGTTTGTTTTTATTTTAAGACCTTCTAAGATTTGTGCTACACTTGTGGCTCGGCCCCGGCCACAGCTTCTCCTTAGCAAGCCTCCTAGGCCGGCCTCAAACTCAGAGTTCTCCTGCCTCTGCCTCCTTCAGTAAATCCAACCAGTGTGCCACCACAACCAGCCAAGTGTAGCTCATGGCTGGGCTGGGGCCCGCAACGCCACAGGCAAGTAGCTTTTTCGTGAATTCGTACCACGAATGTTGGGTGCCAGATGTAGCATGAATCTTAAAAGGTCTTATTAATAATAACAAAGCCAGAGCCAGATATTGGGGTGAATGCTGAAAACCAGAGAAGCAGAACAAGACACAGCTTCCTCACCTCGCCAATTCCTCAGTTGATCCTGTTTCCCCAGACTGGAAGCTTCTGAGTCCTCACCCAAATAGATCTCAGCTGAACTGCTGCTCAAAAGTCTAAAAGCTTAACCAGCCCTAGTTCCTGGTTTTCACACCTTATATACCTTTCCGATTTCCTCCATCACTTCCTGGGATTAAAGGCGTGAGTCACCACGCCTGGCTGTTTCCAGTTGTGGCTTTGAACTCACAGAGATCCGGATGGATCTCTGCCTCTGGAATGCTAGGATTAAAGGCGTGTGCTACCACTGCCTAACTTGTATGTTGAATATTATGGCTGTTCTGTTCTCTGACCCCAGATAAGTTTATTAGGGTGCACAATATTTTGGGGAACACAGTATCACCACAGAGAAGTCTTTACATTCTTACAAATCTATGAAAACGCCATGCCTGACTTTTACGTTCATGTCTCAAAAGAATCATGCAAAAGTGATGCTTCAGAGAGAAGCCTCATGTTTATCCTGTGGTTCTCATCACCCCAGTTTGAGAAGATTATTTGGCTGAATTTTAAGCTGTTCTGTTTCCCAAGAAAATGATACACACTATACACTCCAGAGATATTTCAGTCTCTCTCGCCAGTAGAAAACTGAAAAACCCCAACCCAACCAACCCAAACCCGTTCATCCATGTCAGCAAGGGACATTGACAGTGTTTTGTGCTCTCATTAATGGCTAGGTTAAGAGAGTGAGTGAGGCGCCCGAATCGTCTCCGTACTCGCGCTCCCTTCCAGGTGGAAATAGGTGCTCCACCAGAGAAACAGAAAAGGGGGGTGACAACATTAGGTGAGCAGGTGGGACGGTCCAAGACGGGACTCCGGATAGTAATGACAGTTTCGGGGGGGGACTGTGACGTAATTACATTCCACTCCACACTACCAACGCCCGAGTCGCCGCTCCGCGGCGGGGTATGAGAGTACAGGGCCAGGAGCGAGGTGCTCGGAGACAGGAGCCCAGGGAGGTCTGGAATGGGGCGTTCGGAGTTGAGGGCCGAGAGTCCCTTAAGTCACGGGCCAAAGTCACCCAGGGGCGACCGGGAGGGCGGGGGGGCTGGGTTGCTGAGGGGGCGGGGCTGGCTGAGAAGACTTTACTAGGGGAGCCCCGGGCGCTGAGGGGTTCTTCCCGTGCGCCTCGGGAAAGGCTCGGACTCGGGTCGTGGTCCGGCCGTCGGAGGAGCTCGGGAGGGGTCAAGGGGCCGCGACCCGGAGCGCTTTACCTTTTTCTTGGCCGCAGCCAATTTGCTCTGCCTGGTTTCTTCCGACATCCCGGGGTGGGGAGGGGGGGAAGCGGGGGGGGCCACATCACCACAATCCCGGCAGCCACCGCGGAACTGCTTCCGGCAGCTACAGCGCCTCTGTAAGTGGCAGAGAAGGCGGTGCAAGGCGCCTCTAGGCCGCTCGGAAACGCAGCGTGGCCTACCCTCTCCAAGCCCATTGGTTGAAGAGAACGATGAATGACAGGGAGGCGTGGTCACGCCGCTGCGAGGCGGGAGCGACGGGTGGAGTCAACGACGAAAGCTGCGTGCGCAGCCCTGACCCCTTTCGGCCGCCTATCGGAGGGAGGGGCGGAGCCGCTCCAGCTTGGTGCGCGCGCAGCTTGGCGCGGGTCAGTCGGTGGTCTCCATCGTCGTTTTCTGGTTACGTGAGGCGCCGAGGCTGCCGTTTAACCCCAACCCTGGACTCTCCTACGCACCAGACGACCCCGCTCCGGGTACCTCGGAGCTCAGGGTTCAGGAGGTGGGCGAGGAGCGCGCAGCGCTACATATCACAGCCCAGACTTCCCCTCCGCAGGCCCCTCACCACCCGTTCTCCCCACCGTTCCCTTCCCACAATGCGAACCCCGATCCCAAAGCCCGCTGCCCCATCCCGATAGCCCAGGGTGCTGCCCTGGCAGCTGGGTCGCGGTCCTTCCCCACCGCGGCTCCCGCGCCCCCGCGCCGGCCCCCCCTCACCAGCCCTTTCCTCGGGTTCCTCCCCAGGACCGACCCAGAACTCTACCCGAGCTGCCATGGGCCCTTCCGACCACCGGTGAGTATGTCAGCCCCACCCCGCCCTCTGCATCCCAACACCTGCCCTCCCATCTCCCGCCTCCGAGCCTCCCGGCGCCACGCTGTTCTGAGGCGTCGGTCCTTCCACTCCTGCCTGTCCTTGGCTTTCCAGCCGCCTCCCCACCCCTGCCTTCAGTCCAGCCTACAGTTTCCCAGTCAAGGAAAATCTCTCCGTGCTGGCCCCTCCCTGAACTACCAGTAGAGCACTATCTCCTTGTTTCTGCCCCCCCAAAGCTCAGCGTCCTTCATTTCTCACCCCAAAGATGGGTTTTTCAAGCACTCTTTTCGATGAAATCACGAGTCACTTCTTAGTAGTTCCTTTTGTTCTTTGTGCTTTTTTTTTTTGAGACAGTCGTTAACACCAAAGACGGAAGGAGGAAGGCCACCGACCCAAATCATTCTGGCCAAATTATTTAAAGCAAACAACTAAGCAAGCTTTTTTATTCGTGTACACAGGCCGCCTCCCGCTAAGGCGGGGTTGGAGAGGTCAGCCTTGGATGTGAAGAAGACAAGGTTTTTACAACTCTAAATGGGGGCTTGGGTGCAAAATTGGCGGGGTTACAGGAGCAGAACCTGAGCATACATGTTAATTCTAACGACCTCCTGAAACAGAGACATGCATGGTTGCAAGGTGGGCATGACAAGGTAGTTATAACAAGGTAATCATAGGTGGTCATATAACCTTTTGAAACAAAGGTAAGGCCGGGCGGTGGTGGCGCACGCCTTTAATCCCAGCACTCGGGAGGCAGAAGCAGGTGGATCTCTGTGAGTTCGAGGCCAGCATGGTCTGCAGAGCAAGATCCAGGACAGGCACCAAAACTACACAGAGAAAAAACCCTGTCTCAAAAAACCAAAAAAAAAGAAAGAAAAAAATGAAACAAAGGTAGGATTGCAAGATGGTTACAACAACTTTTTGAAACAAAGACATGGTTGCCATTCCTGGAACAAGCAGTTCAGAACAATTTGTAATTAAAAATGTTATAAAGGCCAGTCCTTGGAAAACGGGTTTAATCATAAACAGGAATGAACCTAGTTTGTCTTTACTGTAAGATGGCTTTTAAGCCTAAGATGGAGGCAGGCTGATTCTTCACAGTCTCATATCCCAAGCAGGTCCCAAACCCACTCTGTATTCAAGGATGCCTTGCATGGTCTCACTATGTAGCCAGACTGGCCAAATACTCCTCATCCTCCTGCCTTAACAACTCCTAAATGCTGGGGAGTCAGATAAAATGCCAGGGAAAATTATGGGGACATAAGGAGGGAAAAAGAGCACTTTCAGTAGGATGGTGGTGTCATATGCCTTTAATCCTAGCACTGGGGAGGCAGAGGCAGGGTCTGTGTGAGTTCGAGGCCAGCCTGGTCTACAGAGTGAGTTCTAGGACAGCCAGGACGCACAGAGAAACCCTGTCTCAAATAGCAAAGCAAACAAAAAGAGAGTGAGAATCCTGGTTTTAGAATCAGCATTCCAGCACAATTTACATTTGCTGTGAATGTTGCCAACATAAAGACAGTATTTCCTTTTTAAACTTATTGTTTGGTTTTGGTTTGATGTTTTTGTTGTTGGGTTTTTTGTTTTTTTCTGTTTTGAGTTGTTTTCTTCTTTTTGAGACAGGGTCTTTATGTACCCTTTGCGGCAGACCAGGCTGGGCTTGAACTCACAGATAATATACCTGCCTCAACCTCCCAGTACTGAGATTAAAGGCCTATGCCACCACACCTGGCTGTTTTGTTTTGTTTTTAATAATTTAAGTTACTTTAGTATTTGTGGGCACTTGAATGTTGTAGAATACAGGCACTTGAATGTTGTAGAATACATACAGAGGTCAAAGAACAACTTCTGAGAGTTGGTTCTTTCTTCCACACGATGAGTCCAGGGATCCAACTCAGGTCACCAGACTCATCACCAAGCACTTTTTTTAAAGGTTTTTTTTTAATTTGTGTGTGTATGTGTGTGTGTGTGTGTGTGTGTGTGTGTGTGTGTGTGTGTGTGTGTGTAAGTATGTAGTGTGTCCAGGTGCTTGTGAGGCCAGCAGTGTCAGAGCCTCTTGGAGCTGGACTTAGAGGTAGTTGCACACTGCTCGTGTTAGTGCTGGGAATTGAACTCGGGTCCCCTGGCAGAACAGCGCATGCTCTAAACCACCGAGCCATCTCTCCAGCAGGTCATCAAGCACTTTCCCAGCTAAACCATTTCACTGGTCCCTAATATTTCTTTTGAGGAGAAATATTTTTGAATAGGAATGGAAAGGCCTTGGATAGTGCCGCACTCCTCATCCAGAAGTTTTCCAGGAATCCCATAAGACGATTACTTTTGTTTACAGTAAAGATGATGCTGTCCTAATTTTCTGCATCCTTGTGATCTAAGGGTCTAATTACCCATTGTAAACCTGTTAAGCAGGTGTCAGGAACCATGGGACCACTTGTAATCACTTTAAAATTCCTTAGCAAACCTTTGAGTAATTTCAGAAGTCACCTATATGTGACTGTTGTGTAGACAAAAGGAATGGTAACACTTGCTTTTAATGCCAGGTACTCTGGTGGGGGCTGAGGCTGGTGAATTCCAGGGTGTTTAAAACCAGTCTGGTCTACATAGTGAGTTTCAGGACAACCGAGGCAACATAGTAAGACCCTGCCTAAAAAATAAGAAAAAAACTACAAATTCAAGTATCCTTTGGAAGCCCGTACCTCACTTGAGTTTGTCTCATTCTTTCTCAGGATGCCTTTGACTCCTATTCTTAAATCTGTTAAGAATGTATTTTAATAAAGCCCAGCTGTTCCCTCATATGGGCTTGTCCTGATATTCAAATAAAGCCAAGGATTCAGCTTTACTTGGGAGGTAGTGCCTGGGGAAAAGTCCCCAGGCTAATATTAGGGCTGTTGGCCAAGCTAACCCCCACTTACCCTTTGAAGTTCTGCTTCTTCCAGAAGCCTTACTCCCTACTTCTGACTGTCAATTCTAGACGCTCCCTTAGCACATTGTTCTTCCAAGCTTTTTTTAGACTTATAATTAGTTGATTAGTTGTTGGATCTTTCATTTGATGAATATTGTCTACTGTGTACCCAACTACTGTTGTAGGCATTATGGTGTCCTTGTTTCCTTCGAATTTACCAAGATAATGGTGTCAAGTAAAAATGAAATGTACAGCATGTCAGGTGATGAGACAGGAAGTGAGACACCAGTGTAGATGGGGAGGATAGCTCTGGGGGTAAGTGCTTGCTGTGAAAGGACCCACATAAATGAACTCTCGCACCCACATGAACACTGGCATGATGTCATCCCAGCGTCAAGGTAAAGACCACAACCACCCTAGGACCTCCTGGCCAGCTGCCAAGCCAAATCAGCAAACTCTAGGTTCAGAGAAACTGTCTCAGAAAGTGAGCTGGAGAGCAAATAGAGAAGAGACTGGACATGGCTCGTTGGTCAAGAGTGTGCTTTGCTCTTGCAGAGGACCTGAGTTCAGTTTCCAGCACCCACATCAGGTGGTTCACAACCTCCTAGAACTCCAACTGCAGGGGGATATAATGCCTCTGGCTTCCACAGGCACCTGCGTTCATGTGCACAGACACATAATTAAAAATAAGATAGCCAGGCCATGGTGGCTAATCACCTTTAATCCCAGCACTGGGAAGGCAGAGGCAGGTGGATGTCTGAGTTCGAGTCCAGCCTAGTCTGCAGAGCAAGTTCCAGGACAGCTAGGGCTACACAGAGAAACCCTATTTCAAAAAACCAAAATTAAAAAAAAAAAATGTATTGAATATAAGTTTTTAAATTTTATGTTCATGAGTGTTTTGCTTATGTGCGTATGTGTACCATAGTGCATGCCTGGTGCCTAGAGGTCAGAAGGTCTGACCCCTGGCACTGGAGTTATGGGTGGTTGTGAACCCTGTGTGGATGCTAGGAACCAAACCCAGATCCTCCACAAGAGCAGCAAGTACTCTTAACCCTCATTCCAGCCTTATTAAAAAAAAAATATAAAATTACATTTATTTCTGCTAGACATAGTGGCATATGCCTTCAATCCCAGCACTCCGCAGGCAAGAGGCAGATGGGTCTTTGAGTTGGAGTCCAGCCTGGTCTACGTAGTGAGTTACAGACGAGCTGAAGCAGAGCTACATAGTGAGACCTTCCCCCCACCCCCATTATTTTTGTAAAATAAAAGTAAATGAAATTGCATTTACTTCTTTTATTTGGGGCAGGAGGCACTATATGACAGCAGTTCTCAGCCTGTGGGTTGTGACCCCTTTAGGGTTTGAATGACCTTTTCTTTTTTTTTTTTTTTTTTTTTTTTTTGGTTTTTTCGAGACAGGGTTTCTCTGTGTAGCTTTGCGCGCCTTTCCTGGAACTCACTCTGTAGTCCAGGCTGGCCTCGAACTCACAGAGATCCGCCTGCCTCTGCCTCCCAAGTGCTGGGATTAAAGGCGTTCGCCACCACCGCCGAGCTTGAATGACCTTTTCATAGGGTCACATTTCAGATACATACATTATGATTCATAACAGTAGCAAAATTACAATTTTGAAGTAGCAACAGAATTTTTATTTTTTGGTTTTTCAAGACAGTGGTTCCCTCTGTAGCTTTGGAGCCTGTCCAGGATCTCACTCTGTAGACCAGGCTGTCCTCAAACTCACAGAGATCCTCCTGGCTCTGCCTCCCAAGTGCTGGAATTAAAGGTGTGTGCCACTGCCACCAGGCACAACGGAATAATTTTATGGTTGGGGTCACCACACCATGAGGAACTGTATTAAAGGGTCAACTGCACTATGCTATACAAGTAGAAGTCAGGACAACTTGAAGGAGTCATTTTTTCCTCCCACTGTGTAAACACTCAATGGCCCTCTTGAAACATTTTTAATGTGTAGGTCAGAGGACAATTTTGAGGAGTCGGTTCTCCACCAGGGTTCTGGGAATCAAACTCAAGGTTGTCGGGATTGCATGTCAGGTAATGTAACCAGCTGAGCCACCTTGCAGGCCCTTCCCTTTGGTTGGCTTATGCGTCCTCTGAATACAGGGGTTGTCTTTTCCTGTGGCTCCTGCCAATGCTGGCAGACAGTGCTCACTCATAATTGCAGTGACTGATCACAAGCCAGGGACCTAAGAACAGGAACCACGGCTTCCTCTGTTTTCTCGCTAGGCATTTCATCCAACATGCACTTCCTGAAGATAAGCTGAGCACTAGATGCCAGCCTTCACAGCAGCGGTTCAGCCTTCCTAACGCTGTGACCCTTACAATTCCTCATGTTGTGCTGACCTCCAACCTAACATTAATTTTTTCTTGCTACCTTATAATTAATTTTGCTACTTTTATGAATCATAATGGAAATATCTGATATGCAGGATATGTAATGTGGCCCTTGTGGGGGTCATGACCCACAGGTTGAGAAAGGGCAAAGATGAAATGTAGCCTTAGGGAAAGGTCTTGTCCAATAAGATTATAAATCCAATGACATTGCAGACCTGGGCTCAGACTGCAGGCCAAGGTGGCCAGCTGTTTAGGATTGGATTTAATTGGGAAGAAAACTCCAAATAACCGCCATCATGGACTCCATCCTCCATCTTGCTTCAGCCTCCATGAGGCTGCTGCTTCCTCATCCAAGATTGCTGATCTACTCCATTATTACATCAACATTTCAGGCAGAGAAAGGCCAGCTTAGGCATGTTCTCTCCCTGAAAAGACATTCCTCAAGCATTGCACATATCACTCCTGATGACATTTCCACTTGCATAACAGTCTTGGGCCACACCTATTTCCAAGGAAAGCTGAGAAATAAGTGGCATTTTGAGGGCAGGGGCCTATTACCAAGCAGAAATAGGGAGTGAATATCGAGAGGTATCATGTAGGCTCTGATCTGTGGGTAACTAATCAATCCAGCTGATGATATTTTTTTCTGCCACTTAGCGTCAATCTCCCAAGCCTGAACAGACTGATGACAACAGCAGCGTGGAGTCTTTGAACTCTGACATTCAGAAACTGAAGGAGAGACGGGACATGCTGGACAAGGAGATTTCCCAGTTAGTAAAAGAGTAAGTCTTTGTTATTTTGTTTTCTGAGACCCTCTTGTACCCCAGGCTGACCTGAACTTGCTGTCTAGCTGATACCGTTGAAGTGATCCTTCTGTCTCCTCTTAGTGCGTGATTATAGGTATCGGCAACGACATCCAGTTTTCTGAGCCGGTCTTGTTCCTCCCCAGTGTGGTTAAGATAACTCTGACCAATGTGGAGTGCTCCCCTCACGTGGGTAAAGCCCTGGGCTCCATCCCTACTGCAAGAAAACAAAGGGCAAGGGATGAAGCTCTATGGCAGAGTGCTCACCTGTTGTACAGAAGCCTTGGGGTGGATCCCAAGTCACACACAAACATTCTTAACTTGTAATTAGTGCCTACTAACAAACCCAGCTCTACTAGCTTGGCATAGGAAAGATTCTGCCTTGGGACTCGGGGTATCTTTGCAGATGCTCTGGGAATTCAGGTTTGGACAAGCCTAGAACCAGGGTCTAGAGAGCTGGTGGAAGTGGAAGCAGTGACTATTCTGGTCTCTCCCTCTGGTGCTGAATTCTGGGCACTGCTGACTATCATGGATCCTTCCATCAGTGTGGCGTTTCAGCACCTAGGAGAAGCTGGCTTCTCCACAGCTCCTGGGCTTCCTCATGCTCCTCACTCCAGCCTTAGGACAGAGGCTGAGATGCACTGGGATGTATATTTCACATGAGAGAATCTGCCTGGTTGCCCCAAATTATGTGCTTATCTATGGCTAGAGTCACATAGTAACCATGTGTCTGGAAACCCTCCTTTAAGGGACAAGACAAGTTTGCTAGGAATGAGGGGATGGGTGGGTCCCTGCCCATTATAAGCTTCAGGAAAACAAGGTCCATCCTGTCTTCACTGTCCCCAAGACCTAGCACCTAGTAGGACTACGTTTGTGAATATTTGTTGAACAGATGCTAAACAAATGTCTGTCTCACTGTTTTCATCAGCTTACCTGATGGTACCTGCTCTCCGTTGCTCTTCCCCAGAGGTTACCGTGTGGGTGAACTGGAGAACCATATCTCCCTCCTCCACGAGTACAATGACGTCAAGGATGTGGCACAGATGCTGCTGGGAAAGCTGGGTGAGCCTCAAGGGATGGGGAGATGGCTCCTCCTCCCAGGGGTGTTGGATTTTACTCCTTGGTCCCCTGACTTGCCAAGCATCCCACTCTGTCAGCTCCCCTGCTCCTGGAACACCCCAACCCTCTTCTCACCAGCCTCTGCTTCCCCAAGTACCCAGCAAAGCAGGTCTGCAACTCTTTCTTTAGTCCCCAGGATCTCGAGCACAGGGCCTACTTAGGAGCAAGTTCGAACAGGATTTACCCACCTGTGAAGCTGGACTAGGTCCCTGATCTTCCATGCCTGCACAGACATTGAGATACATGGAGGCCTCTGTTGACCGACTTGCTCCAGTGGAGCAAGGCCCAGGGCAGCTCTTTATGACAGACGGTGGATTCAGTTCCTCCTCCAACTAAATCTTGCCATCCAGAGTCACAGGCAGATACCTGTGTGCTTGGGCTGACGAGCAGCCTGCCATGAAGTCAGACTGGTTTGGGGTAAGATACTGGGTAGGTAGCCTTAGCTATGCTCAATAGCCCTTTCCACTGGCCCAGGGTGGTATGCCCTGATACTCTGCAGCCAATGGGATAGTGTTTAGAGCTGCGTTGTTGACCAGTTGCTGCCTGAGTTTTAGTGCTTGTGACAGAAATCCCTATCGGCATCCAAGATTCCACAGACCAGAAGAACCCAGATTCACAGACCAGAGGAATCATGTGTCTTTAAGAATGGGTCCTCTGGAGGGAGAAGAGAATAAATAGGAAGGAAATGAAAGTGTCTAAAAGGATAGTGATCAGAGCTGGGGGGGAGGGACGGGAGGATGTGGCCAGGTGTGGTGGTGTATGCTTGAAATCCAGTCCTCTGGAGGCTGAGGCAGGAGGATCATAAGTTCAAGACCAGCCTGGGTTCCATAGTGAGACCTGGTCGGAACAACAACAATGAAAGTGTTAGAACTCAGATGGAGACCTGTCACCTCTCGGTCATATGGCTGGAGCCAGCATCCTCTCACTTTCCTGTCTTTTCGGTGAATATTCACTGTGTAAATGGTACTGTGTACCAGGTACTCTAAGATGCTGGGAGGTGGTGAAACACGTGCCTTGGGTTTTAGTGTTTAGAGTGGGCAAAATGGCCAGTCAGTAGATGAACAGAAATGGTACAGTGTGTTACAGTTCTATGAAGGACACAGTGGAGATGGAATACTGAGGTCTGGAGAAGGAGGCAGGAGAGAGCAAGATCAGGTGCTAGGAGGAGGCCTCTGAGGAGAGAGCCTTCCCTGTGGAGAAAAGGATGAGTCTTAGGCAGAGCAGCAAGGGGAGCAGGGTCACACAGGCTGCTGCCTGAAGGCTGGCTGCAGGCCATGCTATAATGCTTGTTCTTGTGGGCTGGCCAGGCCAAGCCCCTAAGGGGCGGAGCTTGGAAGGAGAAGTAAGATTTCCTTTGCCATTTGGGTGAGGTGTGAATCTGGACCCCAGGGGTGGTGGTCTGGATGGTTTGGACAATGGCCTTGACTTGGATTTTGACCTTCTCCCCTGGATAGTAATTCTTTCTTCCTTTCTTTCAGCTCTGACCCGAGGTGTCACCACCAAGGAGTTATATCCAGATTTTGGTCTAGACCTGAGTGACTGAGCAGAGTCTTGCAGATTTTTATCTACAGCCCATGGGGACAGGTGGATGAGGACATGAAAAGCAGAGAGCCCAGACAGTCCATTCATATGATTTCCAGATAAAAAATGCTAGAAGCCCCAAATTTCCTAAAGAGTCCAAACTAAGTTTAGAGTGGGTCCTAGAGAAGGGTGGTGGTGGGAGGGGTGGGTATTATCAGTTCTGAGGTTCCTAAATGTACTTGTGCATGGATGTGTGTGGTGGTCCCTTTTGTTAAATAAACATGAGCAGTCTCTATATGGTTCTGATCCTTTCCTCTACCAGTCCCAGTCTGCCATGGATCACAGCAGCTCACTCCTGCTGAGTCTCATAGCTGTTACCTCGTCCAGGAGAGTTTTTATTGCTGTCGCATTGACCTCGGAGAGGCAGGTGACTTGCCCAGAGTCACACAATAGCAAGTGTGGCAGGGATTGAGCCCAAGATTGTGCTTTGCGATGCTACTTTTCTGGGTTGAGAAGGGACAGGTTAGAGGTGGAAGTAAGAAATTCATTTATTCAGGTGTAGTGGTGTTGCACGAATCCTAATTGGTCTTTCAGTAAAAACGGGTAATCATCGGGGTCAATGCTGAAAGATCAGGGAGACAAGCCACAGCCACTGCTTACCTCTCCAGCTCCTCGGCCAAAAGGGGAAGGTCCTGTCTCCACCAACCCTCAGACTGAATGCTCCTGAATTCTCAGCCCAAAGGCTGACTTCCTGTCTCTTCCCAGCCTTAGCTGTACACCTTTAATCCCAGCACTCTGGAGGCAGAGGCAGAGAGCAGGCAGATGGATCCCAGGGCTACATAGAAACCCCTAGAGGTGGGTATCTTAGGGTTTCTGTTGCTGTGAAGAGACACCATGACCACGGCAACTCTTATAAAGGAAAACATTAAATGGGTGGCTTAGTTTCAGAGGTTTAATTCATTACCATCATGTTGGGACGTGGTGGTGTGCAGGCAGACATAGTACTGGAGAGGGAGCTGACCTGAAGGCAGCAGAAGTGGTCTGACTCACTGGATATAGCTTGAACATAGGAGACCTCAGAGCCCACCCCCACAGTGACACACTTCCTTCTATAAGGCCATACCTACTCCAACAAAGCCACACCTAATAGTGCCACTCCCTGTAAGCTTACGAGGGCCAATTACATTCAAACCAGCACAATGGGGTAGGGGATGAGGCTTCTTTTTCAGAAGCTGTGTGGCCATGGGCAACTGCCTTGACTTCTACAATGGAAAAATATAGTATCTTCATTGGGGTATTCACTGCCTGTCTGAGCAGAACATACCTCCATAGGTGAACATGGTAAAAGTATGATTATAGAGCCAGCTGTTCATGCCTGTAATCTCAGCACTTGGCAGTTGTGGCTGGATAGTACTATAAATTCCAAGCCAGCCTGGGCTACATAGGATATATAAGACCCTGTCTCAAAAAGGCACCAAACAAATGTCTGGAAAGCTGGCTCAGCTGTTAAGAAAACCTGAGTTGTGAGTAGTAGCATTCAGCTTTAATCCCTGCACTCGGGAGGCAGAGGCAGGAGGATCTCTTAATTTGCGGCCAGCCTGGTCTACATTGTGAGTTCCAGGACAGCCAGGGCTACATAGTGAAAACCCTGTTTCAGATTAGTTCCCAACACACATCTGGCAGCTCACAGCCACTTGCTCCAGCACCCTCTTCTGGCCTCTGCAGTCACCCCCTCCCACACAGACATAACACATACAAAATCTTTTTTAAAGGTTTTTGTTTTTGTTTTTGGTTTTTGGTTTTTTGAGACAAGGTTTCTCTTTGTAGCTTTGGTGCCTGTCCTGGATCTCACTCTGTAGACCAGGTTGGCCTCAAACTCACAGAGATCCACCTGCCTCTGCCTTCTGAGTGCTGGGATTAAAGGCGTGCGCCACCACCGCCCAGCTAAAGTTTTTTTAAATTATGTGTATGTCGTGTGTAGTGTATATGTGTGCACTAGGGCTCAGAAGCTGGACTTAGAGGCAGCCTTGAGTCTCTGACATAGGTACAGGGAACTGATCACTAACCCTAAACCATCTCTCCAGCACCAAATTTTTTTTTTTTTTAATGTCTGTTGCTGGACATGGTGGTGGCATATCCTTAATATCAGCACTTAGAAATCGGGCTGGCAGATCTCTGAGTTCAAGGCCTGCCTCATCCATATAGTGAGTTTCAGGCTATAAGGCTATATATAGTGAAACCCTATGTCTTAAGTCACTATTCTACTGCTGTGAAGAGACACTCTAAGGGAAAGCATTTGATTGTAAGCTTGCTTGCATACAGTTTCAAAAGCTTAGTTTATTATCATGGCATGGGGGAGGGGGAGGCATGGCAGGCATGATGCTGGAGATGTAGTTGAGAGCTCCATCCTGATCCACTGGCAGAGCAAGACTAGGCCACACCTCCTAATTCTTCTAATCCTATAAAACAGTTCTACTTCCTGGGGACTAAATATTCAAATATATGAGCCTATGGGGGCCATTTTTATTTAAACCACCACATCCTGCCTTAAAAAGAAATGTTATTGAGATGAGTGAAGAGTTGGTTTAGTGCATAAGATTGCTTATTGTGCAATCATGACGACCAAAATTACTTGCTTTACAATCACATGGATCCCATTGTCCCACAGGCATCTAAGGCCAGCTCTGAAGGTGGGTGGAGGCAGGGGAGTGACTGGGGCTTGCTGGCTTCCAGCCCAGCTAAGAAAACTTAAAGCCCACTTTCAGAGAGAGAGAAGCCTGCCTCAAAGGATTAGGCTGTGAGAGGCGGACTCAACCCCCTCTGCTGGCCTCTGTACAGACAGGCATGCACTCAGACATACAAAATCTTACTGCCGCGTGTGGTGGCACACAGCTTAATCACAGCACTGGGAGGCAAAGGCAGGGGGATCTCTTCGTCTCCGCCTACCAGAGCTGCATAGTGAGACCCAGTCTCAAAACCTGTTACCACCATGGCAAGTCTGTGTCTGAAAGTTCTCGCGGGGACATGTGAAAGAAAAGAGATGCACAAGATACAAAATACACAGCTTTAAACAGCAGACCATGTCAGCACAGTCACATGGCCCAAACTGAGGGAGGTTGGGGATGAAGATGAGCACATGGTGTTTGATAGGATGAGCAGATGTCTTAGCCCTGAAAACCCAACTTCTGACAGGTGTGTGGAGGACTTGGTGGGCAGCCACACTGCTCATGACCCAGCACTGGACTCCTCCCCCAGTGACCCATGCCTGTACTCTGGTCCCATTCCTGACATCAGACACACTGCAGTTTTCTATCTTTCCGAGTTCACCATAAGGTCCCATGTCACTTGTCCCGGGCTGCAGCCATTCTCATTTCTGGCCTTTCCTAGCCGTTCTTTGACCACACATCATACCGGGCCAGGCAGACAAGAATGTGGGAGGGTCCCAGGTCTGTAAACAGCTTGTGCAGAAGCTCAAGAGTCAGAGTAGCTATGGTAGCCCCAGGACACGGATTTGGTGTGAATGAAAGGTGACTAGGGATTGTGATGGGTAGTCTGGTCCTCTTGGTGTGAGATGAGCGTCTCCCCTAAGCCCATCCTAACCAGCTCTGCATTTGCATCAATCATAAGCGCCCAAGAAGGTCACTGGGAAAGAAGTTATCTCCACATCCAGTACAGTGTGAAAACGTCTCTGCCATGTGCTGTTAGCAGGCACCAGGCTCTCGGGGGCAGTGTCCATTCAGAGACGTGCTTAATAGCTAGCCGGGCAGCATGTGGACGGACAGAAGGAGGCGGAAGGTGATAATCACACATCCAAATTAGTTATGAGCCAAAGCTTTTATCAGGCAAGGGCCGGCAGCTGCCGTCCAGCCATTTGCACAACTCTGCCTCACAACTCTGTGCACCTCATTTGCAGCATTTTGCTGTCCCTGACAATGGAGGAAGGTTCAGTAGAATGCCCCATTCCCAAACTGAGCCAGATGAGGCACAAGATGTAACAAGTCTGTCTGACTCCAGAGCTGGGTAAGTACCCGTGAGTACTGACTCCCAAGGGCAGACCGGCTTCTCTTGAAGAAGTAATGGCTTACACCGGCAATCCCAACACCCAGGAAAGCCTAAGGCTGATGGATTGCTAAATTTAGGTCCAGCCTTGGCTATATAGGGAAATGTATCTTTTGAGGTTCTTAGGTAGCCCAGGCTGGCCTGGAACTCATCTTTCTGCCTCTGCCTCTAAAATGCTAGAATTGTGGGTATGCACCAACATAATTTTGAGAGAGGAACTAGAATTTGAATCCAGAACTCCCTGAAACCTTAGGTCTAATATCTTAGCCACACACCTCTATTATGTTTCTCAGAAATTGCACCTGCCCTTGGCCAGGGGTGGTGGCACAGGCCTTTAAACTCAGCATTCAGGAGGTAGGGGCAGGCAGTCACGGCCAGCCTGGTCTGGTTAGTTCCAGGCTATCCAGGGATAGAAAGTGAGACTCTTTCAAACAAATGCCAAAATGGGGAAGGGGCTGAGGATGTAGCTTAGTATTTGAGCATTTGTCTCGTTGTGCACAGACCTGAGTTTTACCTTTAACACCATAAAATAATGATATGTAGCTGAGCGGTGGCAGTGCACACCTTTAATCCCAGCACTTGGGAGGCAGAGGCAGGTGAATCTCTATGAGTTTGAGGCCAGTCTAGTTTACAGAGCAAATTCCAGGACAGCCAAGGGCTACACAGAGAAACCCTGTCTCAAAAAAAAAAAAAAAAAATGCTTTTGAAATTTGGCTGTCCAGTGTTTAGGAATTCTGAATTTGTAGGCCTAGGGCTTTGCTTTTTATAAGTTTTTAAAAAATGTGTGTGTGGGGAGGTGTTACCGTGTGAGTGCAGTGCCCTCAGGACAGAGCGGGCATTGGGTTCCTTGGATCTGGAGTTATAGGGAGTTGTGAGCCACCTGACCTGACCTGGGTACTGGAATTGAGCTCAGGTCCTTTGGAAGGGCAACAAGTGCCCTTAACCACTGAACCATCTCTCAAACCAGTTTTTTTTTTTTAATTTTAATTTTTTTGTTTTGTTTGTTTCAAGACAGGGTTTCTCTGTGTAGTCCTGGCTGTCCTGGAACGTACTTTGTAGACCAGGCTGGCCTCGAACTCAGAGATCCATCTGCCTCTGTCTCCAGCATGTGCCACCACCACCCAGCTTTAGTTTAAATTTTAATTTTATTTGACGTTTTGAGTCCAGGCTGGCTTCAAGTTCACTATGTAGCTGAGGATGACCTTGAACTCCTATTTTTTCTGCTTTTGCCTCCCA